GTCTAGGCTCAGATGTACTTCACCTTCACACCCCAAGATGATATGTGTCTAGCCTCAGATGTACTTCACCTTCACACCCCGAGACGCCATGCTTCTAGCCTCAGATGTCCTTCATTCACTGCCAGAGTGTGTACGGCCTTGATTATATCCTAACAGCTCAATTTCAGTTTGAGGTAACCTTTTAAAGAAGAAACTTCCTTTCTCTTGGTTATTTCCAAATATATCAGTTTTCCTCTAGACGTGACACTTTTCTTCAATGTGAAGAAAACGACCCCGTGATACACCATTTTATGTCTGTTTTCTTTGTTTTAAGCTTTCCTTATATATCCCACCTATCTCAGCTCCAAAATTACATCTTTAAATAAACATAAAAATAGGGTGACAACTATGGAGCATATTGGAAGTACAAGTTGGATCTATCAGGTGTAGAGCATAAATGTTTTAATCCTGTAATAGGATAAAAGTGGTGAAGGCTATGCTGTTTAATAGGATGTAAACATTCCAATTTGTACAAATAATCATCACATTGAATCCTATAATGGCATAAATGTATTTATGCTCTATGTACGAAAGACTTAATAAAAAATAATAAAATAAAATATTATGAAAAAATAAAAAAGAAACTGTAAGTGCCAAAAGAGGCATAGCAGCACATACATGAACTACAGAGGGAATGGATTGCAGACCCATGGGTCAAGGGGAATCTTGAAATGACTGCATTGATCTTAGAACTTGAAGAATAAATAGGGTAGATTCTGAAAAGCAAGAGGGGAAATTGCATGGAATTGACATTTTATGTACATTCCAGATTGTATATAAAGTCAGCACATTATCCCCATAAATGCATTAATGTACACAGTTATGATTTAATCAAAAATTATGAGGAAAAAAATAGGGCGACAATAAAATACTTTATAATGGGGTATTGTACCACATCTCACAAAGTTCAAGTAAAACATTAGGCATATGGGCTTAAAACAAATGATTACATGTAAATGCAGCACAGAAATTCACAAAAGATTGTTAATGCATATACTTGGCTTGTTTTTATTTTATTAATATAGCAATTTTGACAGAAAAAATAGGCTGAGGAGGCATTTAATAACTTTTTCAGTTTTTGGTGTAGTTTGGTAGTCCTTAGGAACCAGGGATTATAAATATCCACAAATAACGTTTTAGAGCTAACCTTATGTAAAATTCTACATGAATTTGAAAAGCAAATAATACAAAGAATGACGGGTGATCCTCAATCTGAATAAATACAGGATGACCTAACTTAAATCCTGTTTAAAAGGACTTTTCTTAAATACTCAGAGTTGGTGTTGCAGCCTCCCTGCTGTTAGAATAATTAAAACAAGGTGACAAGGAAAGAGCATGGGGAAGTTCTTGGCAGATGTCTTCTCTACTTGAATGAGAGGAAAGTTAGTAGCTGGGACTCAGGGAGTAAAGGGCAAGAGAGGCAAGTGAGGAGACTTCCATCCTCTCTGCTCCGAATCTTCTTAATCCTGCTATCTGGAACCCTGATACCCCCCTGCTCTCCCCATCTTGGTAGTCATGGTAACTTGAAGAACCAGATTCTTCTCCCCAGTGCTTAGGGAGGTGTGTAAGAAGGCCAGTATGGTTTTATGCACAACCAAAGAACAAGGAAGAACAAGATGCCCAGCCCAGGACTGGGAGAATCAGGATCTTCCTGGGGACCAACAGCATCTGGAACTGAAGCATCTAAAATGAAGCTCATTCAACAACCTGATTTTGTAGGGAAGGAAATCAAAGCTTAGAGGCTGATGCAACTTGCACAAGGTCACTCGGCACCTTGCTGGCAAGACCACCACCCAGTGTCCTTACTCAGCACTGTGTCCCCACTACCCACTGCCTGCCACCCCAGCCACTTAGGCGATGAAGAGGCTTCAGCAAGTCTCTCTTCTTTTTCATTTTATTATGAAAAATTCCCAGTATCTACAAGTAGAGAAACTAGAATAATAAACCTCGTGTACCCACTGCCCAGCTTCAACCATGACCAACTCATTGCCAGTCTTCTTTTGTCTAGACTCTTTCCTACTTCACCACTCCTCTGTAATTATTTCAAAATAAATCCCAGATAGCTTATCATTGTTTCCTGTTAAATATGAAATGCTCAAAGAAATGACATAGCTGCAGACGCATCAGAGATGATTTTCTCTAGCCCACATCCTTGTGTGTCCTATTTTCTACTTGACAGCTCTAAAAGGAAAAGCCAGCTCTTATATTAGCACAGACCAATAAGACCCCAGATGTGCACTGACAATATTAGACTGTGGTGTAATGAGGGTTTCTGATGAAGGGATTACTTTTTAATTATGGAGAATGTTGAATTTACTCAAGAGAGAAATTCTTGTCTCTCTTCAAACACCATGGACACTGGCACAAGTTTAATTTGGGCTTAATGCTTCCCTGAGATTTAAAGTCAACTTCCTCTATGAGTCCCTAGGAAAGGCACTCAACAATGTAATTCTTAAGGCTTAAAAAAGCCTACACATTAAATTAATAATCGAAGACTTTTCACACCAAGAGGGTCATGGCTCTCCTAGCACACAGACCATCTCTTTGTCCTAACAATATGATGGAAATTTAAGATTAAACAAACACAGCAGCACTTTCAGATACCCATTTAAATCTTATTCATAGAACAAATACATCAAAAAACACATTTTTTAAGTTTTAATTAAGAAATAAGGCTGTGCTACTAGAACCAGACAGATATACACATAATGGTGTGAGTATATAAAAGCAGGTGTTGCTAAATCCACAGCACTGATGGATCAAGTTTTCACCTCTCATTTTCCCCTATTTCACCTGCTGCCTCCTCACACATCAGTTTTTTATATTATAAAAATAAATTTCCAAATATATATTTAAAAGTAAGAATATATTAGAAAGCAGAAGTCAGTACAAAAAAAGGGGCAAATCAGAACTCTGAGTTATTTCATCCTTAAATGAAATAATTTCATTTCAAACGTAAATTTTATTTTTCTGAAACAAAAACAGAAAAGAAATACTGCAAAACATGACTTTTTACTTCAGGATATCTTCTAACAAAGATGTGACGCTCATACCTGCTGACGTTTCTCTAAATTTGTCACTTGTCTTCTTTTTCCTCCACTTCCAAGGCTTAAAGATTTTACCGATGGTGGAGAGTTTCCCCTTTCTCTTGAAGGGAGGTGTTTGGGAACCTGCGGTGGGGCCATCTGAGTTTGCTATAGAAGCTTTGTCCAGGCCGTCAACTGTATAAAGAAAAATAAAGCCAGAGAAAGGTTGTAATAAACGTAGGAAACATCCTCCGTTCCTCCCTGGACTGTTCACAGTAGGCATGACCACTCTCATGAATTGCACAGAAAGTGTATTTTGTCCCATTTGGTAGCGGGTAGGACTCCCTGGTATCAATCAGTAAGTCTACCAATCGGAAGGTATAGTTCCCTTAGGAAGTCATTTTGGGGAAAGAGAAAAGAAGCAAGACACTGACATAATAGGTGGGGCCAGATAAATAAGGGTCTGTGAGACACACACGAACCCATCTGCAGCAACCCCATCAATATTTTGTGCAGAAATAGTCTTGTAAGTATGCCTGAAATAAGATGCTCCTCCAGAGGCCGCTTTGGCATTCCCTGTAATGAATATTACAGTTATGGTGTCGTTAAAGCCATTGTTTCTCCTTCACAAAATAAAATTTGGTGCCAGGAAGCCAAATTCTATTTTTACAAGGCTAAAACTATCTTTTGATTCTACTGCACAAATGTTTTCAACATCAGATAAATGGATAGCTAGAACTAACAATGCGAAATACGTGGAAAATGTGAGTATTCTGTGTGCTTAAAACGTATCTTTGTAGCCCTTTGCCATTTTATTAGTCAGAAGAATGGCACAAAAGCTTAAGTTGCTTTGCACTATGCTCTAAGCAGAGAGCAGAGAGCAGTGGCTTGTACCAGCCCAACTTTCAAGTGGCTAAGAATTGGAAACAGGCCAGAATGAACAAACCATGGTATTATTCACTCAATGAAATAGGTGTCAGCAGTGGGGAAGAAAAGAACTATTGATACATGTAACAACAGGAACAGAGCTCAAGAGTATTGTGCTGGTAAAGTAAGGCAGAAAAGAATAAGGCAAAAAGGATTTGGACTACAGACTTATACCAGTTGTAGAATTTATATGAAATATAAGAAATTTATATGAAATTCTCCAACAGGCAAAATGAAATTTACAGCAAGAAGAAGGGGGGGGGGGGGAGAAGAGGAAGAAGAAAAAAAATTAAGTCAGTAGTTTCTTCCTGAAGTGAGAGGGAGGTAGGAGTTAAATGAGAAGGGGCTTGAGGGAACTTCGGGAAGTGATAAAAATGACCGCAGTAATGGTGGGATTCTACAAAGCTCATCCAGTGGTAGTTGTGATTTTGTACATTTTACTTTATGTCAAACTTACCTTAGAAAACCAGAAACAGTAAAGTCTGATTAATGATATGCACACTGAGGGTTTAGGGGTGATATGTACTGAGGTCCAGTAAAAATAATAGACAAATAGATGGACTGGGAAGATGGATAAATATGCAGTAGAGTCGAATATATAAAATGTTAAGTGTTCAATCTAAGTGGTAGATACGTGGGGGTACGATTCTTTCATATTCTCTGTATTTTTTAGACTTTCTCATATAGGATTGGGGAAAAACACAAATAAACCCAAAAATTGAACAGCAAGGAGTTCTGCTTCTGAAAAGATAGACTTACCTTTTTCTATTCCTCTTGCTAAATTCAACTAAACAAACAAACAACAAGTCCCCCCACCCCCAGATGTTATATACAAAATAAATGCAAGAAGACTCTCTAAGGTGAAGGGAGGTAAGAGCCGTTGGGGACCTCTGAATCCCAGAAACAACACAGTGGTGAGATCCTTGGGTTTTCTTTTTGCCTCAAATGTTCCAGATTTGTAGCTGACGAAGTCATAAACCTGGAAACACCAAGAAGCATAGTCGTCGGCACCCCCGGAATGCTCACAGGTATGGAGCATAAGAAGCCTCAACAAAAGTGCTCTTTCTAGCCATATAACCAGGAAAGGTTATTAGCAAGACAGAACACTAGACAATAACCTCTCTATTTCAGCCAAATGCCACAGTACAAATGGTGACCCCATATGCCAGCAAAGGCTGAGCGGAAATACCAGACTTCCACCCTCATGAGGCTTGAACAAGTACCCCTAACACCTCTGCCACATTGGTGTCAAAGAAGGCTCAGTAGAGAGTCCCTGGCAGGTGACAATGAAGCATCTTCCACAGTTATCAATGGAGATGGTGTAGGAAGTCTGGACGTCCACCTCTACTTAGCAAGAAGCAGGTGTCTGTCCCCTCCCCCAATACAGAGGAGGTATCAAACCACTATGCCCTGGGAACAAGGTGCCCTGGCCACCTCCACTGTGATGTCGTGGAGACCATGCAGGGATTTGGAAATTCCACCCATGCTCAGCAGTAACAAGGACAACCAGCCATACAGTGTGTTAACTGAGAACAAGTGGAGAACGGGGGATTCTAACTCCATGAGGGAGTGGCAAGGTGGCACCACTGCTTCCCTTGGTGGAAAGGTGTCAAAGTCAGTTAAAACAAAAGTTTCAATAATATCTACAGTTGCATATAATAATAGAGAAATGTCTACGCTTCAATTGAAAGTCACTTGATATACCGAAAACCAGGAAAATCTTAAACTGAATTTAACAAAAAAGACAACCAAAAGATGTCAACTCCTAAATCTTTATGAGTTCTCCTTCCAAACAAGAATGGATGAATCCCATTCCTCCCACTTGTGAAGGCTGCTGTAATTCCAGGTGGTGCCTGAGCATAGGTGCACAGAGGCTGTGCAATGCTAGAGTAAACTGGAAAGACATTTCCTACCGTGTTGATACTTCTCTAAGGGCTCCCTAACCCTACTTTTAGCCATAGCACGATAGCTAGAGATATGGGGGATAGAGTGATTTTGAAGCTAAGCCAAAGTAAAGAAGCAAATCTTCATTGCTTCACTTCTACTGTTGTCTGACTGCCTTCCCTGAACTAGTGGGCAAATCGAGGGAGAAATGGGTGTACGGTTTTTCCTCTTCAGGGAGACTTTAGGCTGAATTCTCAAGGGATGGCTCAATTTTGAACAATTTACATGTTGCAAAATATAAAAGAGCTGACTATCACAAACATAGAAACCAAAGTTTCCGTCTCAAATTCATCTCTCTGGATGCAGACACACAATGAGTTCTCATTCGCTTCCAATGGAGTGGGATTGCTATCTCCCAACCTGCATATCTGGTTCCCTGACACTCCATAAAAGTCCTGCTTTCCATCTGAACCAATGAAGCACAGAGTATTTTTCTCCTGCCATAAACCTCACTTGCAATTAGAAACCACATGTTGGCACAGTTGGCCAAACTGCCATTGTAATTCTCTTAAATCATCTCTTCCTTTCTCTAGACAACCAGGACACTGGCAGTGCCATTGATACTACATATTTCTATGATTTTTATTTGGGACCAAATTGCCATTAAAATACATTTAAAACTTTCTATAAATTCTTTTACAGTAACTCTAGTGAATTTTGTGCTCACCTGTAGATACGAATAAATTGGCAGACAAATTCCAGATGAAAAGCTGAAATTTCCTGATTGTTTTCAGTGTTAATTTTTAATCTACTGTCATGTTATTAGGAGTAACCTGTCATCCATCAGAACTTTCTTTTTCACACTTGATATCTACATTTTAAATATAACATGTAGATAGGAGTTTGATATTAGCCTGGGCAACACAGTGAGACACCTATCTTATTAAAAAAAAGAAAATCAAGTAGATGTGGCAGGACATTTCTATAGTCCCAGCTACTTGGAAGGCTGAGACAGGAGGATCACTTGAGCCCCAGAGTTTGAAACTACAGTGAACTATGATCATGCCATTGAACTCCACTGTGCAAAAGAGTGAGGCCCTAAATAAAATAAAATAAAGCATATTTTGAAATACAGTCATGAACCATGTGATTTTAGATATTTTGGGCTCGGCGCCTGTGGCTCAAGTGGCTAGGGCACTAGCCAGGTACACCCAAGGTGGTGGGTTCAAATACAGCCCGGGCCCACCAAACAACAATGATGGCTGCAACCAAAAAAAATGGCCCGGCGTTGTGGCAGGTGCCTGTGGTCCCAGCTACCTGGGAGGCGGAGGCAGAAGACTCACTTGAGCCCAGGAGTGGGAGGTTGCTGTGAGCTGAGATGCCACAGCACTCTACCCAAGGGGACAGCTTGAGGCTCCTGTCTAAAAAAAAAAAAAAAAAAAGATATTTTGAATAACACAGGTCATTCCATCCTCCCACTGAAACAAACCCACACCTAACAGGACCTCTCATACCACTAGCTAGTTAAGAATTCAGAGAATACCATAGGTTTCATTTTTTCATTTAAGCAGAAATTTACCATTTAGGCAATACCTGTGCCAACATAACTATACACACCAAAAATGAATGAGGCTAGATAGTTAGGTATCACATAAAATAATTCAAGGTTTGAATAATCTTCCCTTTGAGAGGTGAATGATGGATATTCTTAGAAAATTTCAGTCTACTTCATATGAGAGTTTGTAGTATTTTTATAATATTTAATAGTTACATGACATTTTAGAGTCTCATTTTGCTCCACACTTAATCATCTCTGTCACTGAGAAAGTGAGATAAATGTGGCATAGCATTCCACTGCACAAATTTTAGAACTGAAAGATCATTTAGAAAAGAATATCCATGAAAGAATGCTTGGTGTTGATTCCACACAAAATGATAGCTGCCATGTAAAAACAAGGAGGTGGCAAGGATGGTCTCAACTTTCCTCCCAATACCCTTAACTATTTGAAGGTCAATGAGAATACATTTTGGAAACCCAGTAATAACAAAAGCAAATAAAGAGAAATCATGTGTGATAAATAATTCTTTTAGAACACTCTGCTGTATATGCTTTAAAAAACAAGCTTACCAACTTTTATTTTCTTAAATTATGTTTTCTGGGCTATTTTTCTTTGTGTCTTTGTAATTTATTGTGCTTAGACAATATTACAGTTATCATTTTTTATTCCTATAACAGTTTTTCTTTATTATGCTAATACTTATTAATTCAAAAGCACTTTACAAGATACTATAAGGACGGCTTCTGATAGGAATGTTGTACCTGGACTTTGTACCAAGCTCACAGATTTGAGTTTGCAAGGAACAATAGGCTTTGATGCCAAACA